TTTTTGAATTTCTAAGCACCGAAAATGCACATCATTTTTAAAGGGACCACACACTGCTTCCCCCTCAGCTAGCATTTTACAAACACCAAATTCTAACTTCCTGCCTCCCATAGGTGAAGGAACCAAAAACTCTACAAGTTTAAAGTGGATAAGTATGAGGTTATCCATTTTGGTCAGAGGAATAGAAGGGCAATTTATTATCTAAATGGAGAGAAACTTCAGAGTGCTTTGATGCAGAGGGATCTGGGTGTCCTTGTGTATGAATCACAGGAAACTAGCAGACAGGATTAACAGGAAAGCACATGGAATGTTAACATCTAAAGGAATGGAGTATAAGAGTAGGAAAGTGTTATTGCAACTTTACCAGACATTAGTGAGGGGTGGTGAGCTCAGGAATATCAGATTTAAAACAGAAAGGAGGAGGTTTTACTGCTCTTAAAGGGTCGTAAATCTGTGGAAATCACTCCCCCCCCGCCCCGAGTGTGGTGGATACTGGGGCACTGAGTAAATTTGAGGAGGAGCAAGACAGATTTTTGATGAGGAATGGGTCGAAGGGTTATGGAGAGCGGGCAGGAAGAAGTAGTTGAGGCTGAGATGAGATCAGACATGATTGTCTCAAATGGCGGGAGCGGGTTCGAGGGGCTGAATGGACTCCTCCTACTCTTCATTCTGATGTAAGATGGCGATTTTGGGGCCTTGTTATCAGCACTGCTCCACAGTGGAAATGGAGTGGAGTGAGGACAATCAAAACACAGGTTTTCTTAGTCTGTACACTTCCCCAAGTGATGGATTGTGAGTGTACAATTCCCAAGAGACTGCTAACATGATCAGACAGAAAGCAAAAACAGGAAGGGCGATAATTATCTGCACGATGATAGATTGGGAAAGGGGGAGGTACAGTAAGACCTGGGTGTCCTTCTACACCAGTCACTGAAAGTAAGCCTGCAGGGGCAGCAGGAGGTGAAGAAGGTAAATGGGATGTTGGCCTTCATAGGGAGAGGATTCGAGTACAGGAGCAGGGATGGCTTGCTGCAATTGTTTAGGGCCTTGGTGAGACCACACTGGGAGTATTGTGTGCAGTTTTGGTCTCCTTATCTGAGGAAGGATGTTCTGGTGATGGAGGCAGTGCAGCAAAGGCTTCCCAGACTGATTCTTGGGATGGCAGGACTGACATATGAAGAGAGACTGGATCAGTTAGGATTATATTCACTGGAACTTAGAAGAATGAGGGGGGATCTCATGGAAACCCATAAAATTACAACAGGATCAGACAGGATAAATATAGGAAGGATGTTCCTGATGAATGGGCGCGTCCAGAACCAGGGGGGTCACAGTTTAAGGATACAGGGTAACCATTTGGGACTGAGATGGAGAAATGTCTTCACCCAGAGAGTGGGGAGCCTGTGGAATTCTCTGTCACAGAAAGTGGTTGAGGCCCAAACATTGAATGTTTTCAAGGAATTCAATATGATTCTTAGGGCTAAAAGGGAACAAAGTGGGAGGGGAGAAAGCAGGAAGAGGGAACTGAGATGATCAGCCATGATCATACTAAAAAGGGGGAGCAGGCCCAAAGGGCTGAATGGCCTACTCCTGCTCCCATTTTCTATGTTTCTACATAAATTGGAAGCTGTCAAAATGCAGTGTCTTTTGTAATATGGCTATCGTTTAACGCAAGCGGATTGAGCTCACTATATCCAGTGTTGTTTTCTCGAGGATGTCCACCATTTTCTCCAGCTTGGTATCTGCAGCGAAGATGAAGTCATCGTCGACCCAGAGCAGATATTTCGTTTTCACCTGGGAGATTGCCAAGTTACGTCCAGCGAACCAACCCTGGCGATGATAAATTGAAGCAATAGTAATGAGATACTGACCACCCCCTCAATTAACAGGAATCTATCTGTCTCTGCCTTAAAATTATGCAAAGACACTGCTTCCATCTCTGTTTCAGGAGTTCCAAACATTCCCAAACATCTGTGAGAAAAATAATGGTCTCATTTTTGTTTCAAATCAGAGACCCCTTAGTGGTAAATAATGACCCCAATTCTACACTGTCTCACAACAGGAAATATCTTCTCTACAAGCCCCGTCAAGAGCTTATGCTTCAATCAAATCACCTCTCACTTTGCTGAACTCCAGTGGATAGAAGCTGAACCTGTCCAATTTTTCCTCATTAGACAAGCTTCCCATTCCAGGTATTAGTCTAAAACGAGGTATTGGTCTGAAGAGTCTCCAATGCCTTTTCATCCTTTCTTAAATAAGGCGATTAATACTGTACACTGTGCTCCAGATGTAGTCTCATCAATGCCCTGTATAACTGAAGCATAATCTCCCTACTTTTGTATCCAATTCTCCTTGCAATAAACCAGCCCATTCTATGGCCGTTCCTGATGTGCAAGCAGACTAACCTTATGTGATTGATGCACTCAGACACACAGATCTGTCTGCCTCTCACAGCTCTGCAATCTCTCACCGTTTAGATAAAATGCTTTTTTTTTTAAAAATCCTTCCTGCCAGTATGGATGATTTCACACTTTCCCTCATCGTCTGCTGTTTGTTACATATTTTCCCACTCACTTAACCTTCCTACATTCCTTTGTAACTGCCTTGTTTCTGCTTCAGAACTCATTTTCCTACTTATCTTTGTATCATTTGCAGAAATTGTAAAGAGTTGAAGCCCCAACACCAACCCATGTGACACACTACTTAGCTGACATCCTGCCAGCCTTAAAAAGACCCATTCATTCCTACTCTCTAAATCCCATTAACCTGCCAATCTTCAATCCATGCCAAAATATTACCCCTTGCACCATGAGATCTCATTTTCCTCAATAATCTTTGGTGTGGCACTTTATCATCAAATGCCTTCTGGAAGTCTAAATACAATGCATCCACTGGCTCCCCATTATCTACAACACATTACCTCCTCAAAGAATTCCAACTGATTGGCCAAAACAATTATGGTGGCTCAGGGGTTAGCACTGCTACCTCGCAGCAACAGGGACCCAGGTTCGATTCCAGCCTTGGGCACTGTGTGTGGAGTTTGCACATTCTCCCTGTGGCTGTTGTGGGTTTCCTCCCACAATCCAAAGATGTGCAGGTTAGGGTGGATTGGCCATGGTGTCCAAGGATGTGTGGGTTAGCCTTGGGAAACGTAGGGGGTGGGTCTGGGTGGGATGCTCTTTTGAAGGTTGGCGTGGACTTGATGGGCCAAATGGCTTTCTCCCACACTGTAGGCTCTGCCTGGTTACCTTGAACTTATCCAAATGCCCTATTGTAACATCTTTAATAATTGCTTCCAACATTTACCCAATGACAGATGTTAAGTTAACTGGCCTGTTGTTTCTCCCTTTCTGTCTCCCTTCTTTAAAAGGAGTTATATTAGCCGTCTTCCAATCTGATGGGAATCGTCCCCGAATCTGATGAGATTTTCTTTTGCAAAATGACTACCAATGCAACAACTATCTCACTAAGCAGTTCTTTAAGACTAGGCTGAAAACCCTCAGGGCCTGCTCAGCTCACAGCTCCATCAATTTACTCAGGGCCACTTCCCCAGTGATTGTAACTTTCCTGATTTTCTCCCGCACACTCTCAGACAGTACATCCCAGACCCTAACCCCTCGAGTGACCCTGCACCCCCCCACACTCTCAAACTGTACATTCTAGATCAATCTCCCTCCTCGTTTCAATGCCTTGACTAATAAAAGTAAGTGTGCCATATGCCTTCTTAACCACCTTATCTACCTGTTCTGCTGCCTTCACTGATCTGTGGACATGAAACCAAAATCCCTCTGATCCTGTCAGCTTCCTGGGGTCCTACTGTTCAACATGTACTGCCTTGCCTTATTTTTTGAAGGACAAACCAGCCCCCTCACACTTTGCAGGGTTACATTCCATTGGCATTGTTCAGCCCCTTGAGAATGTCCTGTACTCTAATGCCTTTGTCCTCCCTATTTAACCACACAACTTGCACAAGTTACTGGTGTACTCTGTCAAAATACAGCATTACAAAATGCAGTTCGGACTCACGTGACTTTTTGAAAGCACAAACTGATGGAATTACTGGTTGTGTGCCAACAGTTTGTGGAATTCAGACAGAATCCTCTCACTAATCTTCTGACTCACTTATTGGATAACGTGCAGCCAGGCCTGCTCGAACAGGCCTCATTTGGCCAGCTGCTGAGCTAATGGGAAATGCTGCCATTTGTTTGTTCAATGCTTTTGAAATTTGCCCCGTGCGCTAGCGGCAGTTCGAGCTCTGCTCCCTTTTTGCATTTACGCTTTGCTGTTGCTGCTTCACCTTCGGTGTCCTGGGTTGCCGTGTGCATTTAAGTAGCGCTGTGCAGCCATGACCATTGCTCGCCAACTTCCTCGCCAACTTCCAAACATCCAGCAAGCTTCAGATTCAGAAAAGGAATGGGGTTGCTAAGCCAAGGCATTGATGCCTTTGTGACGGATCTGTCACTAACCCCATCAGGCATATTTACAGACAGCCCTCTATAACGTGTCAGAGGAGGTTGTGACCACCTCTACCCATTAGTCACCACATATTCCTGCTGACAGATCCTTTCAATCCATCTGACAGAGCACCAGGCGGTGTGTGTTTTGTATCAAGCTTTCACCCCTTTTCCATTTGGAAAAAGAAGCATCAGGAGAAATAAATGCAGATCTCTCCTGAAATACTATAGGCTTCCCTCCAGGACACTATTGTCACACATGTCATGCCAACCCTTTCCCTATGCCCAGATGGTACTTGACCACAGAAATGTGCCTCCCAGCAATCATTACCAAGCAAACAGGCAGCATGGCATCAGCCACAAAGCCCTCCATTGGGCATGATGGAGTGGCTGTTGAGGATTGAAGGCCGCTCCTCCTACTGTTGTGAACATCCAACCATCTGGAAGCTTGGCTTGCTCCATAGATCCTAGCTCTTCCTTCAGCAGATGCCTGCTCTCTGGCTTTGAGAGAGAACCCTTCCTCATGATGGTCTGATGGAAGTAACTCTTTACCCGCCACTTTTCACCAGCCCCTAACCTCTGGGCTTTTACTGGAGAGTGGGCTTTAGCCCCAAATGGGGGCAGTAGAGTGCATCAGTTGTGATAGTACCCCTGGCTCTTCAACACGGGAGGTGCAGAGCTACACCCTTAACTCCTCGTCCCCATGTCAATGTGCCCTTTGAATGCCTCCCTGGATTTCTCAACCCTGAGCCCAATGCACTGTGGCAAAGAGAATCTCCAGACAAGCAAAGTGCATTCCCATGAGTAAATTGGGCCAGACCAGCCTCCTCATCACCATGGCGATGACTATAACAAAAGCATATGGCATCCACGTGTTGCATCCAGTCTCCCTTAGGGCAGACTAGGAGGTGTGACCAACACGGGCATAAAAT